TATGGCATTCAGAACTTCGGCTTTTGTCGGGGGCTTATAGTATTTCTAGATGAGTTGCAAGTGGGTTTGGTGGTCTATTCGAAAGTTTATTGAAGTGGTCAGCCCAAAGTTTCCTTTGTTTCTCCCCTTTGCTAACTAACCATCCTTCACTATCTCCAATTGGTTTCATCCACGTTGATCTCTTCCCTAACAAAGAGTAACCGCGTTATTCGATATAATGTTGTCAGGTCTCTCTCTGTCTCTCCCACCTGCAGCCTATTTTGTTTCACTTGCAAGTGTGTAGTGGAAGTGTCTTTTATCTTTCCGTGCACTCTTCTCCACTTCTTTGTCCACTGTTTTATGTGTTGTGCTCAGTTCCGTTTTTCATTGTTCATCAATGCGCTGCACTGGTTCATCTTCTTCACCATCTTACTCTCCCTGCTGTGTCAGATCCCATGTGTCCGTCGAAATCCCTTCCTTGTCCTGTCTATCTTTCCTTCCAAATATGGCTATGCAGGTTTATTTCCACGTCGCTTTCAAACAGTTCAAGTGTTCCTCCATGCAGGTTCCTTCAGGAATGATGCTCAATATCTCCTATTTTGTCCTGATGACTGACGTGACAATGGCTTTTGTAGTTTCATCCTTCAGGTCACTTTCTGTTCTGCATGTTGAACTTGAACTGTGGTCAATCACCAACTACTTTGAAGGCTTTCAACTCGATTTTGAAGGTAGGTTCCTTGCTGTAGACAATGGGTGATGTAAACCTACATCTGATCTTGAGTCCAGTAGGCTGGCTGCATCTCCATCTCCATCTCCACTTTCTTCTCATTGAAATGAAGTCGATCTGATTTTTAGTTTAGTGTGTCCATCCGCTGAAATTCATGTCACTTTGTGAATGTCCCAGTGACTGTACACACTGCCTTCAGTCATCAAATCGTTGAATGCTCAGAAGTCTGCAAACAGTTCTCCACTGTCGTTCATTTCACCGAGTGCTTCCCGACCCATGATAGATGAGTTCCCTTGCTGTGTTGCCCGCTCCCAATTTTGTATTCATGTCATTCCACCCATTAGAATTTTGATGCCACCAACTGGAGTGGGGTCTTGTCCAGTGCTGATTGCAGTTGTCCATAGAATTCCTCCTTCTTCTCTTCATCTGCAATATTTGGAGGTGCGTAGTGTAGCGTTGTATGCTCGTGAATTTCCCTCCTTTTGAGTTGAATCTTGCTGTCATGATCCAGATAGTGGAGGAGATTGGTTCCAACTTCATGAGAGAGAGCCTTTGATGCTCTAAGGGGCATCTTGATAGCCACTCCAAAAATCAGTGTGCTCATGGTTATCGTCTGGGTAATAATATCGGAGAAGATTGTTGACTGTCCCGTTGACAGTTTGGAGAGTCCATTTCCATCCCATCTGCTTTATCAGATTCCCAGCCTAGCACTTCTATGCCATATCTTCTCATTTCTTTTGCAATCTGGGCAGCCTTGCCAGCCAGCCATCCAGCCAGCTTCAAACATTATCTGGACATCCCACATCCTCATTCTTACTTTTGCTTTAATCGAGGGAAAGAAGACAGATAGTCCAATTTGCTTCGCGAAGGCTTTCACCAACCAGCCTTATTCCGTCTTGCTGATTCCAGCGAGGAATAAGTTTATTTTTATTTTTTATATTTTCTTTGTGTTTTGAGGTTTCTTTTGCGATTGGATTGATTTTCCGGGGTATGTTTGTTAGCCCTATGCCTAACCTTCGCTCTCTATTCGGGCTTAAGATTGGCTAGAAACCAGTGAACTAGTTAACTAAGCGAGGTTCTCGATATTCTTACATCCTCTTTATCTGCGTTGATGATCGAAATCGCTATATTCTTAGTAGATTTGGAAAGCCTGACTGTTCTTCTCTTGAAATATTCAATGTTAAACATGTTTATTTTCCTGAAATATGAAATGATTTTTTATTTATGATGTGAGTTTTTTTATGTGGTAGTTTTTCTAACTCTAGTTCGATAATATATACTACTTCTAGAGTGTCAAGTGATTTCATTTTCATAGAAAACTTTAAAGCTTTATTTAGTAGTGCAGTCTTACTTTCTGTTGGAATTTTGTTAGATAAATTCTGAACAACCTTGAAGTCGTCAGATTCGTCTTTATATGACGAAGTATCCTTCCTTTCTTTATTTCTTTCATTCCTCTGAATGTTCTGATTTGTATGCATTTAAACATGTTGAAATGATGGTTTTTTTCTCTTTAGTTAAAAGCTTAGGAAAAACAGCTACATCCCGCATTTTTGTGGGAAGTAGACGCTGAAAAATATCAGTTTTTATACACTGACATGATATATCTCTAAGTTTTATGACAAAAATGCCTAAAGTACTTTGTGCAGCCGAAATTGATAGCTAAGAACACTTTAGTTGTTTAAAATCTCGACATTCAGGTACAGAGTTATCAAACAAGTAAAGTAGGTTAAAAATTTTTGAATGGAACCAGTTATATATGGATTTTAGTAACTTTATACTATTAAAAATGACTTTATAGACGTCGTAGTTCAATAAGAATTTAGACCATTTGAAGTAATGTGTATAACTGAGCGACAGTAAGTGAAAACCTGGTGCATTGTATAGTTCTTAAGACATAATTGTATAAAATAGTTTTTCAAGAAATTGGAAAATTATCATGACTGTATATAAAAATGTGTAAACATTGAAGTCTACGCCGAAAAAATCTTAATTATTTCATGGGATTTACTTCAACAACAACTTTAACCAACTAAGATTGTGCATGTCATTTATCAGTTGGTGAACAGAGTTAAATTGAGAAAAGTTTTCACACAGTAGGAAAATGTTTCTTTCCTCCAGTCCGAAGTAGTCAGACAGATACGCCTTCCTACCGATGGCCTCCAATCGAATAAAATCCATCAGAGTGCACTATAACGGTGAGTCTCCTTGATTGATGACCATGTGGTAAAATGTTTGATAAAATTTGGTCAGCCCTGAGGATTAGACAATATTTGACCAATCAGTATATCTGACTAATTGTTACACGAGGTTAGTCCACCCTTTAATAGCTCATTGGCAACGCAGCTGACTGCAGTAGTAGTTGATATGAGTTCAAAACTAAAGATGAGCATTAGTTCACCTGAGGTTTTGGATTCAACCTGCTAACAGGTACCAATAAGCATGAAACGTAGGTCAAGGGTTTCTTTTCGATTGACTCTAACCAACTATTAAAGATCCTATTTGTTTGCAGCTGTTTCAAAGTCACTGGTGGTCTGAACTATCGTATTAAAAGAGAATGAAGAATGTAGTGTTGGATAGGTACTTTTAAAGTACACAATAAGTGGATAAGATCCAGAAGATTTTACAATTTGGTGATCTGAAACTTTATCAGGTACAGGCTAGAATGAGAACCATTCTTGATTGTCATTCAATTTTCTCTAATCTCCGCGTTGTTTCAACCCCTAAATAGACTTATGTAACTTGGATTACTGTGAAATATCTCTTTATGATTCTGTCACATGGTTATGACTGTCTACATGGCTAACTATCTGAACTTACTAAGATTTTTCACTTGCGTGGAAACAACTAACTGAACCCAGTGCAAGGACAGACGTTTTCAATCCTCCAACTATTTCACGTTGTTGTTAACCGTAGACTGACATCAGTTGGAGAAACATGGACAGCTGTTTCGTCTTACCAATGTGCACCCATGACACCGCCAGGGATCGAGCCCTCGACCTACAGGTTCCGAGGCCAGCACGTTACCATTGAGCCACTGGGTCAGAATCCAGTGGTCCACATTTACAACTTATGTTAGCTCACGATATAGCGCAACCGCCACCCAGTGTCATCGTTAAGTAACTGTCCTCATGATCATCAGGCTCCCAGGTTTCGTTTATTCTTCCAACTGATGTCAGTCTTCGAAATATTTCCAAACACCCAACACATCCCTCAAAATTCAATCCTGTAACTAACAACAGAAGACAATGTTTCTGTGTGTTTTTGCTGTAAGCCATGTATCATATACAAATGAATCATATGTCCTAAATAATATCATGCGCAAATATGTAAGGGGTCAATATCAAACTCTTGTACTCAGTTATACAATTCTATCATTAAATACGTTTTCAACAATATATATATATATATATATATATATATATATATATATATATGTATATATTGAAGCAGATAAGATAGTATTTCGAAGTATTATTACTATTATTATTTGTCCCTTGGGTTCCTAATGGAACATAGGGCTTCAGTAGCACGTCTCCAGTTCACTCTGTCCTCTGAAATCTTTTGAGCCTGGTTCCACGACAGCCCACAAGTTCTCATTTCCTCCTCGCACGATCTCCTCCATGTCACCCTCAACTTGGACGTCCAACTCGTCGCTTCCTATGGGGATTCCACTCGAGTACCTGGTCTGGTGCATGATGTCCCCGAATCGTCTTCTCAGTGCATGCTCAATCCACCTCCACTTCCTTCTACATATTTGTTCAGCGATAAGTTCTTGGTTGGTCCGTTACCAGCCAGAGTGAGTTCCTTGTTGCTTATTCCTATTATTCTGGCCATCTGAGCTTCAGTAAGCAGACAGAGTAGGCAGTTGTTGATGAATGTGTGTAGTTTATTGGAAATCCCTTTCGTAACGCACCAAGTCTGTGAACCATATAAAAGCACTGACTTGACTTTGGTGTTGAAAATCCGGATGATGTTCACGCTTTATGCTGAGTGCAGTTGATCTCCACACTGGTTTCAGGTTAATGAAGGCCTATCTTGCTTTTCCAATCCTGTCTTTGATGTCTTCATCTTTACAGCCTGTAGTTGAAGGAGGCTACTTCCTTTAAGTTTCTCTCATTCATAGTGATTGGAGTTTGTTGTTGTTGATGGTGTTGTTCGAAGTATGCTTATTTAAACTTTTACTCTCTAGTTCTATAGTCCATTCTAATTGTTATCTACACTTTAATATGAAGTTTTCTCCTTTTCTAGTTATCCTGTTACTTTTTCCATATGTTAATTTTTATGATTCTCTTAGATATGGTGATATGGTTCCAGAGACAATAGTTGGGAAAATTGTTGGTGGAATGTGTTCACTTTCTGGTGTGCTTGTGATTGCTTTACCAGTTCCTGTCATTGTATCTAACTTCTCTCGCATTTACAATCAAAGTCAAAGATCTGATAAGAGACAAGCACAAAAAGTAAGTTAATTTTTTTAAAAAAAATTCGTGATTATCAATAGATCAGAATTTTTTTTACCTGTATAAATGTAAACCAAATATTTTATTGTTGTGATTGACTATTCTTATGATGTAACTAAACAGAAAGTTGTTCTGAATGTTATTAAAAGTGTTCGTTTTTCATGAAAAATTTCTTGGTACGCTTGAAAATATTTATTGAAAAACAGAAAGATACTAGTCCAGATGGAATACCATATTCTTTCATGTTTACTCCTGAAGTTTTATCATGTTATTCCCTTTGATAGATGATATAAGATAGGCCGTTGGTATTTATTACCTGCTGCTATACATAAATCAAAGCCTATTTGATCTTATTTCCTCAAAAAATTATGAAAATATTTGCTATCTAGTTCCTATCTGGAGTTATTTACCTCTGAAATCACCATATAGGCTCGGCTAAACATGCTAAGGTAGTTTGCATTAGCGATTAAAGTCTTTTAGTAATCTAATTATAAGTTTCACCTGGTTTCGACATTACTGTGAAAGTGATTCCAGTACAAGGTTAAGACCTATATGAAACTGGTTAACGGGTGATAATGTAAAGTAAGGTACTAGAACTATCATAACTGGCTTACAGTCATTCAGTTATCTAGTGATTTAACACACTGAAAGATTCTGCTACTATTTATAACTTCGCGTTTTTAGCTGAGCCAAAACCACAAGCTATGATATACAAACGATACTTGTCGTACAGGGAGTGGATATTGTAACTAAGTAGTCTAGTGGACAACACTCAGTCTGGGATTCGAGTCTTAGTGGGAGAAATATCACTTACTGAGAGACAGGTACATACAACTGACGAGTTCAAAACAAGATGAAACATCCACTTTAGATTTCACTACTACTACTACTGTTATCTGTTAAGTTGGGAGGCATTCAGACATGGAATATACAATTTCTAAAAGAGCTGATTATCATACTTTCCGTTTATTAACGCTGAATATTTTGTGTTTTGTTTTGGCGGTGCCCATTGTTGCCAATAGCTGTAGAATACAGATTCGTGATTTTACACTAATTGCCTACATCTATCATAAAGCAGATACAGTGTAGAAGTGTATATGTTCTCCAAGTTTAGTGAAGACAATACATACTTAATTCACCAAACTAGATCAATGAAGGGCAGATAGATAATTTGATCTGAGTAATCCTTCTTTGAGGCTGAAATATTTCATCGAAAATAGTCTGGGTAGTATTTTTGTTTTTCGATGATAAGTGAAGTTTACACATTATATCAGGTTCCAAAATTGAATATTCTGTTCAGAACAGATCAACGTTTAAAGACTTCTTGTCATTGTATATGAATAATTTCTTCAGTGAATATCCTCAGATGAATTTGACATTCATATCATAAAAATTCCAAGAATTTGAAGATTTTATATGTGGTTTTATTTTAGACAATCCTTGTCAATAGTGATGATAGACAGTAGCTAGTAGTGGGACCCAGGATGCACATTTCGTCCTACTTGGGACCCGTCAGCTGGATGTATCTGCCTCCCAGTGAGTGTTGTTGCCACCAGGACTCGGACTCGGGAGCGATCGCTTCAAACGCCAGAGGGTTATCCACTACACCACCGAACCACGATAGCCACTTCTTGTGCGACGGGTATAGTTTTAGTGTTGTTGCTTGTATTATACCGTCATTGATTGGACCGAATTGATCAGCCTCTGTTGGCGTATGGGCTCTTGTGCAGATGCCAACAGAGACTGATCAATTCTGTCCAATCAACGACGGTATCATAAAAAGCAATAACACTAATCCCTGTCAACTTAAGAAGACTGTAGTTTATTATAAATCATTACAGTAAGCATGAATCGTTGATAGTTGGAAGTGAAGTCCATGAAGTTTATTTCTATGTGCTTATATCTCAATGACTATAGCTGTTTCTACTGGGAACGCTAGAGTGTTAACCATTAGCATAATGAGTTACGATAACCATTTCTCATGGTAACGGTTATGTTTAACATAGTGAAATTTTATTCTATACTGATTGGTTTACATCAAATAGATCAATTTTATGTCATATGAATAGCAAAATATGAGGTGGTGATATAAAATGAAATGAAAACCTAAATCAGAACAGGTTTCTATTTCCCCTTTAATCATCACGTTGTATCATTAATATCAGCTATCTCAGAGAGTTGGTTAAATACAAGTCGAAATATAAAGTTAGTTTAATGTATCAATGTATGAGAACAAAAGGTTATGCGAATGGATAGTTCAGAAGCGTAGTTCTCCATAGTTTAGGTACCTGAAACACTATAAAATCAGTTTATCACAATCGTATATTTTTGAAGCCTTATATTCTTTACAGTCTCACTGAAAAATTTATATTACAATATGAAGCATAGATTATATCCAGAATCCATCCCAGTTTACTTTTAAATGCAAATTCAGTGGTGGTAAGTAGCAGGAATATTTTTTCACAAAGGCTAGTTATTGTTACATAAAGAAATTTTTATACATTTGAGACTATACAATACCTGTAATGGCTTAGAACTGATTTATGAATTGAATTCAAGCGTTTGTAATGTTACGGTAGTAATGACTTTAGAAAAGTTATCTTGCTTGAGACATGTTGTTCAGTAGTTACGCTTTCGTTGGTATATTAAATTATCAAATTATCACTTTAAACTTTGAAAACATTGAGATGAACATTAGAATGTAATGTTCACGTTTAATATTTTGCTTAACATTGCATAATAGATCTTAATAATTAAAAGATATGCTTTATATCAATGTATCTGATGATCTGAAATTAATCTATCAGGCTTTTTAAAAAATCTTCCTATTTGATTTAGAATTCCCTAAGTAAAAACTTTTACATTCCACTGTTAGAATTTGTAGCTGTCAACATTTCTGTTTGTGATATGAAAAAAAGCGCATTTTATTGTACTCCTATGGACAGTAACTTAAGTTGGTATAGTTTTGCCTAACTTATTATTCATGAGAATAACATATACAGGTGTTAGACGTCATGCTGTAATCACCTGGTAGTCTTGAACCTTAAGTTAGTGCTTGTTTGTACTCCTTAGTAAGGATTTGATGCAGATTTTAGTGGATATCAATTTCCTGATAATTTAAGGACTGCTTACTAACTAGGATGCAGTTTTCTCTATGGCTGAAAATGTTAAAAGATAGAGAAATGAAGAAAGTTTATTCTGTAGTAGAACAGTAAAATGAAGAAAAGTGATAAAACAAGAGAAATGTGCAATGTTATGGTTTAACGAAAACCATGTGTGGGTACATCTGTGTTACTGGGATCGATTTGCAAGCATTTCACCTTAGTTCTCCCAACACTAATTACTGTTGTCAGATGAATGAAACTGATGCGTCTATCATTCTCTACAAGTCTCAGGTCATCAGTAATAGATGTAATGTTTTGATACCATGTTTTTGTTTCATCATCGTCAACCTTGGTTCAGCCTAAACCTACGTCAGGTAATATTGAACTGAAGCATACACTATGGCTAGGTAAACGTCACGCATGCAGTAACATGATCTCATTAACTGGCTTACCTCTGCTATGTAAAACTTTGTGTCTATCCTGTACGTTTAATAACAATGTAGTTGCACATGTGACCAGTGGTGTGAAGACTAAGGTGGTCAAAAACCTGGAGTATTCTTACATTGTCTACCCACGATAACCATGGTTCACAGTGATATGGTGGAACGAAACGCAATACTGTGTAGTACATTCAACCGCCAATAGATATTTGGATTTCATACTGGTGTAAAAGATGCCACATATGTGAAAAAGTTTATATGACCATTATTATCCTTGGAGAGATTTCGTCAGTCACTGGCTAACTAAGGGTGATGCAACTTCACAAGTAGGTTGAGTTTTCGATGCACCTGATCATTTTATTTCAGTTCGATATTCATAATGGACTGACATTAGTTGGAGGAACACCAAAAACATGGGAGAATTGGACGTCCGTTTCATTCTACTATAGGGCTCTTCAGCGGTGCTCACTCATGACTCCAACCACCAGGGGTCGAATCCAAGACCAGCAGCTTCCATGGTCAACAGCTTACCATTGAGCCACTGGGTCAGAATACAATGGTTCACACTCCTAACTTCAAATTGATGTCAGCCTCTGACGGATAAAAACTTAAAAAATCACTAAATTCCCACAAAACCTCAAATTCAGTTGATCTCATGCTCATTGGTGACTAGCTTCGAGAAGTCATTCCCGAAGTTCCAAAGAGAATTCATGGCCAGTCGGGCAAACCTAGTGACCGTGAAGAAAAATACTCGGCGATGATATTGAATAATGGTCACTCTATGTCGTGAACTGACAGAAGTTGAAAATATGGACCACTGGGTTCCAATGACAACCTGCTGTTAATGGAACCTGTAGGTCCTGGGTTCGATCCCTGGAGGGCTAGGTCATAGGTATACACAGCTGAAGAATTCCATACCAGAACGAAGCAGTTGTCCACTGTTCACAGTTTTTTCAATATTCCTCCAACTGATGTCAGTTCCTGATGAATACTGACTTGAAAAATCACTAGATCCCATCAAAAGTATCGCCAAATTCAAATGAACAGAACAGTCAGCCTGTTTTCAACAAATTTATAAAAATATGTTGAGAATAAAGATTTTACATTCACTCGTTTTTATCTGGTTTTATCCCAGTACTTTGTCCAACAACTGAGGCTTAGTATACATCAAATCGTTAGGGTGAAAATTTTCGGTGAGTGTGTAATTTAGAAGCATATGTGCTACACTATTGTCACAATCCATCATGATTAAGATCAACCTAGGATTAGACGTTACTGCACAACAGTCCAAGGTGCTACACCTCACATGAACACATCAAGTAACAAAGTATCAAGGTGAAGGACGAAGAAAGGAAGAAAAATTGGTCAAAATCAGTATTGAAAGCAATAAAGGAGCGGAAACAGGAATGAAGGTATGCTGAATTCAGTATAACGGTTAGGATGAAGACAAAGTAAGGATACATCTGGACTACTGACGTAGATTCTGAGGCATATTACTTTGGGTCTCCAACCACTGGTTTCTGTTGTCATATGGATCCTTAACCAGCTAGTCTGTGCATCTGCCAGCATGGCTCAAACCAACAGTCAACTACTTCACCCATTGATGTCATGTTTTAGTCTGTCCGCTCCGAGCCTTTTTCCAGGCTCAACATATTTCAGACAGATGGTGATTAGGCATGCGTAACATACGTTATAGTCATCTCAGTCGATAAGAGTTCCCAACCGCATCGACTGACATTTTCTCCCCCCTAAAACTCTACTCCTGACTTCTGCATTACTGACGTGGTGATACCACGACACATGGCAACGGTAGTCAGGCACCTGAAGCCTTTTTATATTTCTTATTCTTTATAACCATGTTTCACAGCCATACAGTAGAACAGAGAGAACTGCAGCTCACTACCCTCAACCTTTAATAGGCATATGATATTATGGCGGCACCACAGATGACGTAAGTCCACGAAATCCAGCCAAGCAGATACTTCATTGCCTACTGACCTATCACAGCTTATTCGATTACTCAGGTCAGTGAAGTGTTGAACGCACTCAACCACTTCATCCTTCATTATTAACCATTACATCACTGAAGATCAGTCCTTCCAGAATTATTTGTGTTGTATTTATAGAAAGTACTCAGTTCTAAATCAGCTTAACTGAAGGGCAATATTTCAAGAATAATATGAATCAGCTTTTCATTATTCAATAAAAGAATAGCAGACAACTATGATCATCGCTCTTACCCTATTGTCACTGCTCACTTTGATCGTATATTTCTTATATATGCCAATATTCTATCCTTAAACCTATAGCTTAAGAGATGTCATATGGTTTAGACCAAAGTTTGGACACTATAATCTATTTCAAAGATAGCCAAAAATGGAGACTTTGTAAGTGTTTTTGTATGTATGTATATGTGTATGTATTCATTCAAGATGGATTCCTTATTTCATGCGAGTGAATCCATCCATATTCACGTGACACTTTTGTGACATCCATATATTGAATATCCTTCAAAATATTTTGTTATATTCTATTTGTGTCAAGTAAAAGATGGAACGTTTTTCCGTTAAAAACAAAAGGATAGAATTCTGTATTTATTGAGAAAGGGTGATCAGTCATTTGTTCACAAACTTAACATTCTACATCAATATATCTTGAGACTGGCTAGTCTTTGGATTGATGAAAACCAGTGTTAAATGACTGTTGTAAGATAGTTCAATGTTAAAGGTTACATACAATTGTTTTTACCTGTTCAATGGATCCTATCTGAAAGTTACTAGTTTGTTACGGATAGATAGTGAAACTTGTTACTGATGAATGTGATGTTTCGTTTATCATATGGTTAAATGGTTAACTTTGGAGTTTTGTGTTCGAATCCCTGATGTGGGTGACTCTGTTTCAAGGGAACATTAATTTTGATTCCATTTAATACCCAACTCAGTCTACTTTATACAGTGATTCAGTAACATTTTAACTCTCGCTATCCTATTTCCATAGGCGAGTTTACTTAACTGAACAGACATTCAATATAGCCTAAAAGTTATAAATTATGTATCTTTTTCTTTGATACTTATAATTTCCCGTTGCTGTACAAGACCAAATTTCTCGACTCATGTCGGCAGATTGGCTCCTATTCGAATGTGGATATTCATGATGTTGTATTGATATTGGAGACTAGCAGAGGAATCCAGGATGCGCCTCATCAGCTGGATGTGCCTGCAACCCAGTGAGTGATGTTGTTCCCACTGAAGTTTGAACTCGGTATTCATCGCTTCAAACGTCAAAGCCTTATCCATTTGACTACTGCAAAACTAGAGTCACCTGTTATGCAACGGGTATCAGAAGTCGAGTTGTTTGACTCTGTACAACAACAGGAAGTCAAAAGTATCAAGCAGCAACTGTATAAGCTAGAAAGTTACCCAAATTTATGGAATAGAACTGTTACATGAAGTCAAATGTTCACTTATGGTGCACATCAGTAGACCTGTTGTAGTGTTGTAATGCTAAAGACATAGGCAACACTTTTATTTATTGAACGATAGACGTACTACATTTTTATGTTCAAAAATGTTAGATGTTATTTTGGCGAAATTATGATTTTTCTAAATGATAACACAAAAATAGATTGATCTGAAGTAACATTTTTGACAAAATGATTTCTCTGTTTGTTTGTTTGTTTTTTTACCTCTAGCGTGCTAGACAAGCAAGGATAAGATTAGCTCAATTAATGGCCACTGTTAATGCTTGTGCAGAGAAATCTGATAGTCCAAAGCCATCAAGTTGTGAAAGTGATATTGATGATAATGATAATGATGATGATGATGATGAAATGTCTAAGAAATGTTATCATTTCCATGAAAGTATGAATACATCGTATTCATCTATTTCACCTTCGACTACAATTACTACAAGTCATTTAATTCAAAAAAATCATAATCAGAAATGGAGAAATTCAACAGATAGTGATTTAACAATTGGTTGTCAATCTCGGTTAACTCGAAGTCATTCATTAAATTTATTGAAAAAAGAAACAAGAGATCTTGTCAATCATTCGTACAATGGTAAAGAGCATTCACTATCAAACAAGATAAATGAACAGTATACTACTTGTAAGCATTGTATATCTAATCACTTAGCTGATGGATTGATAAAAAATATCTCACCTGATTCAGATCGTACAGTAATTCCGAAAGAAAAACCTCATACATCTTACAACTCATCAAAGGAGAGTATTTGTCAGACAGTAGAATATGCGTCGAGCAGTGTAAGTAAATACCACATTTGAGGTATTTTATGAAGTTTGAATAGTTGTCAAAGAAAAAATAGTATTTTTACACTCAAATTTTATTGATTATTTGTCCTTTGAGTTCTGAGTGAAACATGGCCATTTCACACTCTTCTATACAGTCTCATCACTCCTCACTCCAACACTGCACACATTTCATTTCTTCCTAAACACAATCTCCTACATGTCACCCTACAACACACAACTCCTCATCTCCCATTTAGCTCCCACTAGACAGCTTGGTCTAGCCTGCTACCTGGTACCTGATATTCTCAAACCGTCTTCTCAGTGTATGTTCAATCTAATCCAATCCATCTCACCTCATCTCCACTTTCTTCTTCTGCTTCATATTTGTTGGGTGATAGCTTCTTGGTTGGTTGGTTGTTGTGTGGAGCCAGTCAGTATTCCTCCTTGCTTATTAGTATTATTCTGGTTATCTGATCTACATCTTCGGTGTCAGTATCGAGTGAGCGTAGGTGGTGGTGTGATGAATGTGTGTAGTTGTTGTTGGAAATGCTTGTGGTAACGCGCCAAGTCTGTCAACCAGCATTATATGGAAGCACTGATTCACTTGACTAAATTAGTGTTCCCGCTTTATTCTGAGTGGAGTGGAGTGCAGTAGATCTCCACACTGATTATTTCAGAATAACGCAGAAAGTGTTGTCTTGCCATGTTTTGAATGCTGGTTTTGAAGTCCTCCTCTGTGGCTGTGCCGCCACTAGTTGAATCGATGCTGTCTAGGTGTAGGTGAAAGAGACTACTTCCTTCAGATTCCTCCGTTGATGGTGGTTAGCGCTTGTTGTTGTTGTTGGTTGGTTATCTTCATTACCTTTGTCTTCTCTACGTTCATCTTAAGGAAGTCCCGTCTTCATTCACTGCCTCACCTGTTCTGCAAACTTGTGAAATTTCGCCTGTAGTTTTTCGATTTTGTGCCACAACACATTTGACATAAATCATCATCGTCGGCGAAATCTAAATCTCTTAGGGTTTTTTCATCAGTCCACCCAGCGTATGACCCTCTTTCCACAGCCCCTCACAGCTGTCTGTTGAATGATCCAGTTCAGTCTAGTCCAGTCATCAGCTGACAGATTACTTTTCGGTCGACGCTATCGAAGGCCTCTTCACAGAGGATGAAGTTGAGGTGAAGAGTTGTATGCTATTCTATTCTCTGTTCTATGATGTTTACACTCAAAAGTAATCCTTCATTTTATTTTAGGATCGATATAATGGATGAATGTTTGATAAAGGATTGTGCAGTAGTCGACAACATTAAAAAATATTTGTATCGTTTTTTTTCAATATCAACTTGTAATACCGCATAAAATAAGTTACAGAAATTCTAATGGTTAATAAAATAACAGTCTACTCAGAAACATCTTGATGTGCTCATATTCAGTGTACAATATTCTTACTGTTTTCTAGACATTTAATGCGTTTAGTGCATTTCAATGCGTTTCCAATACCAAAAATATATTAAGTTGGTTGGATTCAATCTTGTCGACAAAATGATGACAACGTTTGTTCACATTTTCGACATTTTTTTAGATTGATGAATGTACAATTGTGAGAAAATACCTGAAACTAATGAATAAAAATGGCATGATTCAGAAGAATGATTGTTAACTATGTAGAATAATTCTATCTCACTGACTGGTTTGGTATACTAAGTCGGACATGAGAATAGTTATTCAGAGACGTCATTTGACGTGTGAGGAACAATGTCACGAATTTACAGATGTAGAAAAGTATGGAACTTTGGTTTCCAAAACAGTGTCTCAGTGATAATATATTCATCATGAAACCTGAATGTTTTTATTGAGATCCCGGATGAGGTCATGAGTGCGCATTGCTGAGGATTCCTACAGTAGAACAAAACAGTTGTTCATTGCTCTTAGGTTTTCAATGGTTCTCGAAATGGTGTCAGTCAGCAACGAATATCAAACTGTAATTAATAAATAAATTCCCACAAACCTCTAAATTGAACCAAATCAATCTCTGATAAATGATCAAGGAAATATGGTGTATACGTTTAAGAATGCGACTGTTTATGTATTGTCAGATAGCATATCCTTATTTTCCACGAAGTGACCAGAAGAATATTTATTGGGTTATCACTGGCTAGTTTTAGCAAACCTTTAGTGTCATGAAGCTTCCTTATTCACCCCAAAAGTATCACAAATAATGTCTTTGTATTGACTGTGGCTTTTTGTTATCTTTGCTGTACGTTTGAAAAGAAGTAACAGTGATTGTTGACTGATCATTAGTGAAAAAGGATGAAAACTTTATCATAGATTTCAGAAATGTATCTATGATCTAGCTTCAAGAGGTGATTCCCGACGGCGACGAGGTCCGACCTCGTAACTCAGTTGGTAAAGCATCGAGCCAGAAACCCGATGGTCGCTGGTTTAAATCCCGCCGTGGTACAAATTTTCATTTCACCTTCAGTCATCTTCCAGTATAAATTCATCTATATTGAAATATGAATTTTGTAATTATAGAAACATATGCAGTACAGTGTTAATTTCAATAATAAATGAAAGAAAACAGTCAGTTAAGAGGAGATCTGTAAGGTGAGCATCAGTCTCTACTTACAAATCGATTTCACAACAAAATAATATTAAATATACAGCAATTAAAAGAAATTCACTTCTGAAAGGGTATTTTATGCTGGTTTATCAATTTTTCAATGTATATCACAGTGAAAATTTGATAAGTTCATAAACGTTTTTTAGATTAAAACTTAAGGATGAAGTAAATAACTTATCTACTTACTAAGTTTGAGTAGTGGATAGAAAAGAACCAATTGAATTCATGGTTCTTAAGCGTAGAAGATGGTGAAGATCTGCTTAGGATCCACATTTTTGGTCTCATCTATTTATGGATTATTGATCTCTTATTTATTATCATAAGAACACCAAGATGATTCTAATTTGAAGAAATGAAGAGAGAATATTCACTTAGCTTGTGTCAAATGCACGTAGATTGGTTCCATAACGCCATCTGTCATGGTAATGACAAAACGTAGTATCAGAATAGAGTAATATATTGAATATTAATTAGGTGACTTTCATTGTCAAATTTTAAACAAAACAAACTTTGATTCCTGATTTAGAATCTATTATCGTATACGGTTCGCAGTTGAGAGTATATTTACACGGATGCATAAACCAATGGGTGTAACAGGTGAAAAAATGTCAGTTTTGTTTATAGTGAGAACTATATTATTATTCATATTATTTGTCTCTTGGGTTCCTAGTGGAACATAGAGCTTCACTAGCACGTCTCCATTCCACTCTCTTCTCTGCAATCTTTTCAACCTGGCTCCACCACTGCTCACAAGCTCTCATTTCTTCCTTACACAATCTCCTCCATGTCACCCTCACCTCAGACGCCCAACTCGTCGCTTCCCATTTGGGTTCCACTCGAGTACCTGGTCTGGTGCATGATGTCCCCGAATCGTCTTCTCAGTGTGTGCCCAATCCACCTCCACTTCCTTCCACATATTTGTTCAGCGATAGGTTCTTGGTTGGTTCGTTACCAGCCAGAGTGAGTTCCTTGTTGCTTATTCCTATTATTCTGGCCATCTGAGCTTCAGTAAGCAGACAGAGTAGGCAGTTGTTGATGAATGTGTGTAGTTTGTTGGGAATCCCTTTCGTAACGCACCAAGTCTGTGAATCATATAGAAGCATTGACTTGAAGTTGGCGTTGAAAATTCGGATGTTGTTGACGCTTTATGCTGAGTGCAGTTGATCTCCACACTGGTTTCAGGTTAATGAAGGCCTGTCTTGCTTTTCCGATTCTGGCTGGCTTTGACGTCCTCGCCTGTGCCGCCGCCTGCAGTTGAAACGACGCTGCCTAGGTAGATGAAGGAGGTTACTTCCTTTGAGTTTCTCCCGTTCATGGTGATTGTTGCCTCTTGTTGTTGATGCTGTTGTTTGGTGGGTATCTTCATCACCTCTGTCTTCTATACATCCACTTGAAGTCCCGTTTTCGCTGCCGTGCCTCGCCTCACCTCTTCTGTCAACTTGTTGGTTTTTGCCTGTACATCTTCAAGTTTGTGCTACATTAGACACAAGTCATCGGCGAAATCTAAATCATTTAGGTTGTTTTCCCTGGTCCAGCTAGTGTATCCCTCTCCTCTCGCTTCTCACTGTTTGTTGCATGAGCCAGTCCACCACAATCAGGAAGATCATCGGTGATAGTAAGCGGTAACCTTGTCTTACTGTTGTGTCCTGTCTTCACTTCAAAGGCATCACTGAGCATCCCATTGTGAATTACTTGGCATGTGGCGTCTTCATATAGTTGTTGAATGAGGGTGATAAATGTTTATGTTATTCCGTAGTGTTGAAGCAACTGGTTGTCAAATTACTTGTCAGTGGACGCTGTCGAAGGCTTTTTCAAAGTCGATGAATTTGAGGTAGAGTGTTGACTGCCATTCTATGCTATGTTCTATGATGATGCGTAGTATAGCGTTGGGATTTGATTCGCATACGATTTGTACTTACTTACTAATTAATAATTAACTTGAGATGTTTCGATTTTTTGTTCTGTACACTTTTCATTTAGGTACCATACTCATCTACTCACGGGTTAAGTAACCGAAGAAAAACATTCAGTTGTACACAGTCACTTAACAATGAAGAGAAAATTCTGAATAAAAAGTATCGTCATTGTAATATTAGTCATACGAAAGCAGCTTTTTTACCGATCTATATTCATCCGGCTAGTCAGAATAGTTTAGTAACAACAAATCCAAATAAACTTAAATTTTATAATGATCATCATAAACATAAAGGAAGTAAAAAGCGAGTGATTAAACAGAATACATTATCAAGGAGAAGTTCGCATAGAAGTAAATTAACATTTGAAGATCTTATACTGTTACAACAAAAACATTTGATGGATTGTTTACATGTAGTAACGGTAAGTTACATTCCTTTTGTTAATGAGTCTATTCGGTTATTTCATTAGACCGTACCAATCATCCCGTAGTTTAGTTACTCATATATTGTTGATATTCAAAATGAGAATCTTGTTTTTCTACTTGTTATTAGCTGTCTATTTAAACAAGTCAGTTTAGTCGGAAAGTAATCCCTTTCAAATTTTTCTTCCTGCAACGAGTTATACCATGGTGATTCTTCTTCACTGTATAGGAATATAAATACTCCTTAGTTTTGGCTAGTAGAGGAATCTAGGATGCGTGTTTCGTCCTATTTGGAATTCGTCAACTGGATTTATCGGGAACCTAGTACAGTGTGACGATATTCCTACTGAGACTGCAATCTTGTCTCCCCTCACTTTAAGCGCAAAACCGTTATCCACTAGGCCATTGAGGTATGGGAGCCACTCTTACACAACGGCTATTAGTTAATAAATATTCAGGCAATGTCGAAGCATTCGCATATGCCAACAGACATCGAACAATTCGATCCAGTATAACAAATGGTTACTACTAATAATATTGCTGAACAGAAATCTTCTGTCGAATGTATATGACTGTTACTGCTTTGTTTATGTTTTTATGGAAAGTATTCCTTAAGAAATGTTTTGTTTGTAAGTACTGTATTGTCAAAGAAGTCAGAAATTTAGTGCTTCAAGACACGATTTTATCTGAAGCTTTAGGACTATGAATTACTTTTAACTGAAATGATTTATCATAGTGAATATATGAGATAGCTGCGGTTTAGTAGACTCGTACTGATACTGGGTCATGCAGGGTCCGATCAACCGACCGACCGGCTAATTGATATGCCAACTGAGCTAGGAGGCCCGGTTGGTGACAACAACTTAATTTCACTTCAGTCACCAAAGCTTTTGCTTGTCCGCCATTTGGATTGATGATGTGTAATTGTTCGTCCCTCTTATCTACTCTGACTGCCCAGATAGGTCGCTTCATCCCATTCCAAGTTGAGGTGAATTAGAGGGGAAGCATCGTATCTGAGATGACCGTGGTTTGGCAGACTCGAAATGATATACAAATCTGACTGATCAGGTATCATTAATTCATATGATGACTGTGAAAAAACTTTTGATGTTTTTCGTAGCTCAGTTGGTAGAGCACATGACTGATGACTCGAATGTAGCTGGTTCATTTCTTGCCACAACCCAGATTTCCATCATATCTTCACCCAGGCCTAAGTGATTTACATGATTTTACTTACACTAAAAATGTTTGAATATCAGACCAAAAATGTCAAAATAAATTTATATTCAGTAAGAATTTTGTTGTATTCTTTGCATTTTCTAACTGAAGCAACACATATGTTGTCAAAAAATGTCTATTATTATATAAAACAGCTTCAGTGATGCTTACTACATATGGTGTGAATACAATTCTGAAAAACATCATGTTATGTACTTTTCAAGACCTTACATTTAATCTGTGAATAACTAGTTGCCCTTTGACATTTGAAAGAAATTACATAAATCACATTTGATTCTGACTTATCTAAGTTATAATCGATGGTAAACTTAACAATTGCTGTGGAATATCTTTGTTTAGAATGAATATATATATATCCTATTTATCACACTAGAAAAAACAGAAGTAGGAAATATGAACCATTAGATCCTAACCTATTGGATTAGTGATAAGGTGGTATCCATAGAACCCAAGGGTTCTGGGCTCGATCTCAGGATGGGGGTGTCATGGGTGCGCACTGCTGAGGAGTCCCATATTAGAACGAAACAACTGTGCAGTGCCCCCAGATTTCCAATGTTCCTCCATCTAATTATTAGTCCATAATGAATTCCAACCTGAAAACAGATAAGTTGACAGGTACTTGATCGTTCAGATGTCAACGCAAACGAATGCTTTACTTCCTGTGTTCCAAAAAAATAGATTAAACTTATGGTCACTTCATATTTAATTCCTAGAAAAGTATTTTGCTAACCGATTTGTTCTCTGTGTCTTTTACATCACTGGTTGAAATAAGAGGGGAAAATGTATGCTTATACTACTAATAGACACAAATAAGTTACATTTTGAGCAGTAATCATTGCTTAGATACTCTATTGAATACAAACAGTTTATATTAGAGAATACATTATCGATTCGAAAGCTTTGATAAACTTAGTAAATTTCTAAAGACTTTTTCCATATGGATGGCGAATGGTATCAAAACTTCATAGATCTTGAGTCGAACGATTGTTGGTTATAAATTTTCATTGGAAAATGCATAAATGTTTGAACATTCAGACTACTGCTATACTATCTTATGATAATCATGGGAAAATAAAGAGATTTATAAGGTTTTTGTTACAAAATGAATATTCATTTTTGAATGTATGACAATTGTAATCAATATATGTTTAAGATCTTAGTAAGAATAACATTTTTAAGAGCTATTTTTGACAAATCTATTTGCTGCTAAGTTCATGTGATGACTTTGTTTGAATATGGAGACATATCTGCAAGTCTAGGTCTGTTAACACCTTTAGTTATGGTATTCAAACGTTGTTATAACTCTGAATTCCACAGGAAGTTTGTTTCTTTGTCTTACTTAGTCATAAGATCATTGTATTTTTGTTTGACTTTCATTTTGAAACTGAAGGAAAATATACAACACTATGTTGAACTGATAAAGTTTTGACTGACTGACTGAATGAATGAATAAACATCAGACCGTATGCCTTCTTTGATTGCCTGTTTACTTGGTTCAAATGAATTTAGTTCATAAAACTCTATCAAAGATAAGCTGATTAGATATACTAACTTCACTGAATGAATTGTTGTGATTTAATTGCTACATACGCTAAATTTTATACATACTTTAAAAAGACAAATTTCAGAAATCTTGGTTGTATTATGTTCTCTCAGCTGGGTTGTTTAATCATACAGTTTTCAGAATCTTTACAGGTGATATCATCAATACTAAATTCAGTATGAAGTGAGATGTCAGTATCTCTCCGTGAGTGATTTAGTAGCTTGCCTTGACGAGGTGGTCTGTGATTAGTTGTTTCCTTTGATTGTTGTGTCATTGACTGCATAGATTTTCCTGTTGGGTGTCCCTCTGCTTAAACTCTGACCTTTCTGTCGTTTATCATCTTTATTAGTGGTTGACAGATTATGTCTATGTCTATACATCTATTGATTGTTGACTGACCTGAATGCCAAGCTTCTAGGAATTCTCTGACATTTTTTGTGTTTTCTCTCTCCGTCCGAAATTTCTACATTGTCGAAATTGAATTCAAGTCCATAAGTATCCACATACATTGAAATGAATGGTGAAATGTCGTGACGTATAATAGCCAATTGGTGTTCATGTAGACGAAGGCGAAGAGGGCGACCACATTGTCCAGTGCAGTGTTGACTACAGTTATTGCAATTGATTTTGTAAATGATATTCGGTTTGTCTCCTTTGGTTATCGCAACCTTTGGTCTGCATAATAGTGTTTGGAGGAAATTTGTTGGTTTATGAGCCACACCAATTGGTGTTTGTTTGTTGTACCCCCTCCCCAGAACTCTACAGCTCCAGAACTTTCCGTTTCATTGGATATAAATTGCTACTGATTTTGGCTAGGATTTCTAATTATTAATCCTGTGTTTTCTCTACTCACTCACCCATTACCTCGTTGTTAATCGTAGATTTCAAATCTTCACTTATTTCTGTATACTTAAGGTGTTATATCATTATTACAGCAAATACTTCATTTAAATTTTAGCTTCTTCCAGGCTCTTTCTGAGTACATAGGTCAGGTTGAAATTGTTTGATAGCGATAGCCTCCGCAAACCGCGATAAACATGGCGTTCTTCATTTGTTGATGAATCGGAAGGATTGAGAAACATCTATTTGATATCATGTCTCCATCAGGTGCCTGGTGATTGTTCTTTTATAGACTTTTCTACCATTCAGATATAGACTTCTCGGACTATGCTCACAAAGTTGAGTAGATGCCTTTCTTTTGGTCCGCCCTATGTACTTGCTTCCACAAGCACAGGTGAACTGATAAACATAATGAAAGGTGACGTGAAATCAGTGTTTGTCTACTTTCGACTGCGTTATTGAGCATGCAGTATTTTAAATTGAGATTGATCTGGCAGAAAGAAGGCTCCCTCGCAGTGCAGCTTTTATTCTTCCATCTATTCTTTCAGATGTCTCATCATATTTGAATGCTAGATGAAGGAAGACAGGATTTTTATCAACATTTGGGTGTTCTGATCTCAATAAATTCTTTTCATGCTTCATGATGAATATCTTTAGATATTCATTCTCCATAAGAGCCTTCTCAATTATAACAAATTCTTCTTTCTGCACAGAACAGAAACTGTTGTAGTGATGGTACTGAACAATCCACGTGTCTCTCCTGTGGATGCTTTTCTCAACTGTACCATGACATCTCCGTCTTATTTTTAGATCCGAAAAATCGAATATATCCTCATTTTCGTATTCCACTGTAGAGTTCATATCCAGATGAGCTTGTTTGAAGGTATCGAAGAAGTCTGACGCATAATTCATATTATTGCAAACAATGAAATTGTCATTGACATGCCTACCGTAATATATCGTTCCCCTAATCGCAGAGTTCAGACATATTCGTCTGAGGTAAGCCATGAATATATCGGCTAAGATAGGTCCCAGTAGTGAACCCTTAACCACTGCATTAGTTTCCTTGACTCGCTATCTTAATGCTAATCCTAAATTTCAAATCTCCATTTACTCCTACATATTTAAAGTGTGTTGCATCATTATTATTATGAATACTTCATTTCAATTGTAGGCTGTTTGCAACTGATGAAAGACTGTGAAATAAAATGAGCTCATTTTATTCTAAAAATGTCTTTGTTATTGAATCGTCCAGGTACATTAATATTCTAACCATAAAAAAACGTTCAGTAAACAGTTGAATAATTTAACATCTACCTTTCTTCACACTTTCAACGTGTTCAAACACTAAAAGCACTTCAAGATTTGGATACATCA